AGGAAGGAGCCAGGCTCTTCTCGGTGATAGCTAATGGTGGGAGAAGGAGAAATGGATGCAAGCTGAAGCATAGGAGGTTTACTCTGAATATGAGGAAAAACTTTTTTACTGTGAGGGTGACGGAGCACTGGACCAGGCTGCCCAGAGAGGTTGTGGAGTCTCCTTCTCTGGAGACATTCAAAACCCGCCTGGACGTGTTCCTGTACAACCTAGTCTAGGTGATCCTGCTCTGGCAGGGGGGTTGGACTGGATGACCTTTTGAGGTCTCTACCAACTCCTAAGATTCTGTGATTCTGTATTTTGTCTTTAGCGATTATTTGTTTCTGTTAATGGAACTAAATATGAAAAACTCACAATATTTTAAATATTTTTGGCCTGATAAAATAAATAGGTTAGTCCCATTTTCAAAAAGTACAGGGCTCTTTGTTTCCTTTGTGGAACACCATGAGAAGTGTGCTTTTCTTAACATGGAAACACTGTGCTTTGTAGATATAAATGTTTTCTTTGGAGAGTTTTCATTTGGACATTCTATAAGCACTGGTCATTTTAAAAACATAGATATATCTGTGTTTTGCGAGGGAAGTGAATTGTTGGTTTTTTAATCTGAAATTTTCAGCTTATTTTAGCATTATAGGAACAGAAAAGGAGCTGAAACAAAGTATTGGCCAATTCTTTTCTTATCTGCAATGTAGGCTTTCCTTCAGAGTTCTGCATTCAGTAATTCTCAGTGTCTCTGCTTCCATATGACATTTAGATATTCTGTCTGTACGTTTATACAAAATACTTGGAGCCACTGCAGTGGCAGAGAGGGCTCTTGTAAGGATTAGAGTCTGTAACAGATACACTGGGAAGAATGCATTGCATAGGTATTAATTAAAACTTTGTTGAAAATTCTCTGCAAAGAATCTAGATTTCATGCTAGTACTGAAATATAAGTCAAAGAGTCACCAGAAATACTCCCAAGAATAGTTAAAAATGGTTGCTTTCTATTTCTCTCTACTGGGAAAGTTCAAACTGTTTACCCTGAACTGAGAATTTCTTTATAATAGCCAACTCCTAAACCATCTGTTTGGTGGGATTTAATAGAGTTTATTTAATAAAATGTTAAAAGAATAAGGAATAGCATTTGCTGTTCTTTATTCTTGCAGTACTCTGCTTTCTAACTCGCTGCAGATAAAAGTGTTTTGTCTGGTTTCAGGTTAAAAGAGCATTATTTTAAGTTTTCTGTCCACAGGCATCCCTAAGGCAGAAAAGAAGTTAATAGCTTCATGCCTGAACCAGTGTGGTTTTCCTGGGGTATTTTTGTGGGTTTTTTTTTTGTGTGTGTGTGTGGTGGTGGTGGCGGTGGTGTTTTGGGTTTTGTTGTTTGTTTTTTTTTTTGCAAGGCTGCTTTAGCTCATAGCTTTTAATTATTACAGAAAACAGTTGTATTTTATTCAACCAGTTGGTTGAGGGAAGATTATATTTTCAACATCTGTGATACAGTTTGCCTTTCCTTGTGCTACAGGAAAGGCAGAACAATGGCCAAGAATGCTGAAGGATTTTCATGCCCCCTAGTGGCCCCTCCTCTTCCTCTTCATCCTCCTCTTCCTCCTCATCCTCCTTCTCCCATGTTCAGTTGTTCCTAACCCCGAACAAACACGGGTCCCCTGCCTGTTCTTCTTTGGCGAGTGCTAACATTGCCTGACCAAATCACAGAAGGTGAATAGTGGAACTAAAAAAAAAAAAAAAGATGTTTGTCTTTCTGTCCTTGTAAACCTTGTTGCCGAGAGCCATGACCTCATTCAGGAGTGACTTGAAAAGCTGGCTAGCTGTAAAGCAGGAGAAGCCCTGGAAAGGACAGCTGAGAGGAAAGAGGCGTAAAGGGGAATTTCACTTTCCTTGGTCCCTGTCTACAGTCCCTAGGATGGAGGTTCCCAGGCAGTAAGCTGTGGAGGGTGGAGGAGATGGAGATGGTCTGGAAGTATTATTCGATCTGTAGTGAAAGTGGACTCTAAGCTCTTGTAGCATAATCCAATGGTACAGTTTTCTACTTTATGAAGGTGACTTTCTTCTTCCTTGCCTCCTCTAGCCTCACAGCAAACTATTAATCTTTTTCTTCCATATGTAGTGCATACTGTATTTTACCTCACTTTCTACTTCTTAATTTTGTTCTTACTTCAAGAACAGCATAAGAGCTGAAAATATGATTATTCCACTGGACTCCAGTGAATGCCTCTCTTATTCAGATAAAATACTCTGACTAGTAGCCTTGTTTTTCTTACCAGGAAGGTTTGAAGGGCATCTTGGTCAGGACTCAAGTAATTGTGATTTTTTTTCAGGGTGTTTTCTAAGCAGGCATTCTTTCCATGCGATACATGCTAATCTCTTTGGCACGTGAAAATATGAAGACCTTTCTTTTTGTCTGCTCAGTCATAACTGCATTTATCAAGCTGGTCTGTTCTGGTATTAATCTTTAATTGCCATTTTGGATTTTGGTATGGATTTTGATGGTTAATTTGAATGGAAGCTTTGCTGTGATGACGTGAAAAATTACCTTCTCTGAAGAGGTTTTTTTGCAGCTTCATCCTGATGGTTATAGTAGGAAATTCTGCAAGTCCTTGTCGAAGAACTGGTACCTTGTATGCTTGTGTGGGTTTTGAACTTAGCTGTTAAGACAGCTATTATGGAGGATTTGATTGTTCTTTGATTTGGAATTGAAATATTGCTACTGATCCTAAAGGGTGTAGGACTTGGCTACAGAGATAAATAAAAGCCTCTCTGTAAATCAACATGTGCTGAAATTTTCAACCAGGCCCTTAATGTGAATAAACTGAATCCACTGGTTCCTATGTAGCAATTGTCATGGCAGCTTATATCTGCTAGATATCTGTCCCTAAACACCATAATGCTGGTTGGCATTGGGCAGACTAGGGCTTGGGAACCACATGAATAAATGTACAGTAAAGCAGCTGAAGTTGACCAACGGTCATTTCAAGGTCCTGTTCCAAGAGGTAGTGAAGACTTACTGCATATCTTCTCTTTCCAGTCAGAAGCTTTGAATTAAGGCAGATTCTTTAACTTGCCAACCCCTGTAAAACTGTGTTTTAGAAATCAAGAAATGTCAATAAAGAGATGTTTGTTTGTTCTTTTTCTTCCTACCATTTCTTTGAGGGTTTTTTGGGGGTTGAATTTTTGTTTGTTTGGTTGGGTTTTTTTGTGTGTTTTATTTTCTTTTTTAAAGACATGCTGAAATTGTTGCCTACTCTTTTTTTACTTCTATTATGTCCAAAGTCTCTTCTTTTTACATCTGTATTAAATGGCACACATGTAGCTCAGTGTATGCAGTTCAGTATGTGTATGAACGTGGTCATACTGGGTCATTTAGCCCAGTCATTTTTTGGAGTTCCTGGTCGATACTGGATGTCTGAGAAAGACTATAAGAGCAGGGAAGGCAGATGATAATAATTTTGCTTCAAAATATTCACCAGCAATTTGTGACAAATACTTCTAGAGCTAAAGGTGTTACCTTGTATTTAATAACCTTTTGTTGATTTTTCTGTCCTGAGTTTATCTAGTTGATCTTGAATTAATTTAGACATTTAGAGATTGCAGTGCCTTGCTGCAAAGTGTTCCACGGTTCTACTACATGTTGTAGGAAGAAATACTTGTTTTTAACCTAACAGCAACTGATTTTATTTGAAGCCTCATAGTTGTTGTACTGGAAGAGAGGGGAACAATTGTTCCCTATTCAATATTGTTTGCAAACTGATGTAGAACAAAAAGGAGGAGAGAAATAAGAAGTCTCTTCTTTCTTTTTTTGTTTTGTTTTGTTTTGTTATTTTTCTGGAATGCTTTTGGCCCAAACAATGAAAAAATGTAGTTGGCAAATTGTATCTTGTCTAGAATGTTATGGATTTGGAACAGTAGAAAGTATGCAGTGCTCTATGATCCTATACAGACTCTTAAAACTCAGCATTATGGTTGTTTAACTGGGAGTGAGAAGAGGATATTAAGAGCAAATGGTGTAAAATACCACATCATAGAAATTCAGTATTACAATGACTTAAACAGTGGCTTAATTAAAAGTGAAATTCATATAAATTGATTGAGTTCTGATTTTTTTTTTTTGACCAGAATTATATTAGGGTTTCTATTTGCGTATAATTGGGTTGGGCTGGAATTCGGGCAAGATTAACCAAAGAGGAAAAAAGCCAGCTAGAATAAATATATTGAATACTCCTGTCTACTTCATCTGTGTGTTTGATTGCTCCACATTAGGATCACTTAACATTTTTTAATTTCCTATTCTTTGTAGGATGGAATGAATATGTGCATGTTTATGCAAAACACCTTAACCAGACTTACGAGGTAATATATTTTCTTTACCTTTCTTTATGAAGTAATTATAAGGTTTGGAATATGTTTTGGCTAACTCTTTAACAAGATGTTTAAAGTTAAATACATAGTTTTAAGTATGTAGTTTTGAATCCCAGACCTTGTATTTGCATATGTTAATCAAGTAGATATTTATGGATTTAAGTTAGACCTTGACATTTAGACTTTCTAAAGATTGAAACAGGAAAAAAACCAAGCCCTATTGGCTTATAGGTGGAGGGCCAGGAGATAACCTCAAGTTAAGGAAGTCTAGGCCTTCAAGGTTTCTCAAGCTGACTTCTGTAACTCAGTGGAAATCAGTAGCTCTCTTAAAACAAGCAGAGCCAGCTTATGCAGCCTACACAGGTAACATTTATTTAATATATTTATTTAATCTTCCTACTTCATAACAGAAATGTATTCAGTTCTACCATCTGGTATTTCTGAAAAACATTTTTTCCTTTCTTTTAGATCTGGCTTTCTTAAGAAATCACATTTCTCTTAAATCTATGTGTGGTAGAGCCTGTCTTTTTTCTGCTCAGGGCTCTTTGAAGATATATACTCTTTGTTTTCAAATAATCTATATGAGAAGATGTTAGAGTTAACATTATTTTGTAAAACTGCCCAGGAGATTGGAGACTTAGTAGTAGTAGTAGTGGTGGTAGTACTGTAAGGGATTCTCAGGAATGGAATTACAATCCATTTGTGTGGGTTAGTCTCTGTATAATCAAAAGTGATGGGGCAAAGCAAAGAGGAAGATGTATAAAGATTAAGCCCTCACCTCAGGTGTCTTGACTTAGAGTATGTTGAAGCTAAAGTTTAGGAGGAGCACTGCATTGCTGTCTGGAGACATCTATTGTAGATGGGTTCTGTCTCCCTCTGGGATCCTGAAGGAGATGCCTCAAATGGATCAGAGTGCGGATGCTGGGGAGCCATAAGAAATTGTTGGCACTTCTGTTAAACTAGAAGTAAAACCAAACATGTGGTCATGACTGGGAAGCTGACTTCTGATTGTGGTTTCAGAACTGCTCAGTGAGTTAAATGTCTCTTTGTAGTAAAAGATAAAACAGTTGTATCAGCATGCAAAGTCTGGGACTAACCAATTTTCTTTATTTCTTAGGGAGCTGGGCTTATCCTAGGTCAGTCACTGTTCATTCGTATTCATTTCACAATGACAGTGGGGAAAGAGCTTCTCCCTACATACTCTTCCTTCCCTCTGTCCTTTGTATTACCTTGAACGTGATTAAATGCAGTACCATCAAAGGTAATAAAGGTAATAAAGGTTGCTATCCTTAAAGGATGGTTTTGCCCTCAAAAAAAAAGTTTTGTTGAATAAGCTGCTTGAAGGTACCATGCTGTATTTCATTATTTTTAGATGACCCAGCCATGCAATTCTTTGTGGTCCTTTCTACTGCTTTCTGTAGTGTACTGGATTAGTGTAGGGTCTTGTGTCACTGTCCTGTCTCTCCTTCTTGCAGATAGTCTTTTTAGGTATAGTCTGTAGCATGTATTTTTCATAACATAGCACATGATCTTTACTTGGATTCCATTTGATATATCTGCCTTGCTGTTTCATGTTGGGATTCCATATTAATTATGGAATAATCATTTTAGCCTTAGTTGAACTGATATTGTGCTACTTATCCACAAAGATGTAGTTATTTCAATGAGTTGGAACAGTATATTCTTCTGGACTTTTACTATAGATATGGTTTACTTGAATCCAAATTGTAATTTCTGGAAGACTAAAAGGATCCCTTTCGGTTTCAAAACTCTTGTGTAGGTTGCCTTTGATCAGTGTTGCACTAGTCCAAGGAAGAGCTGTCGGAGGAGGAGCAGAACTTACCACAGCATGTGATTTCAGGTAAGATCAACAATTTGAGTAGCTGTCATGTTGGGTCAGTGACTTAATGGCCTATGAAATGCAGGAAGCTTGAGGTACTACTTTATCAGCACTAAGGTCCCTGAATTCTGAGGCATTAGGAGCTGGGTTTTGTCAGCAGACTTCACAGGAAAAAAATGTTTGGGTTTCCTGATAGAACAGAGGAAGAGTTATTTATTGTCAGGTTTTACAGTTTCAGTCACTAAAAGAGCAGTGAGGAGCTTTAGTAACCAGCTGTGTTATACACCAAGTGGGTCCAACTTTTCAACCCTGGATGAGAGGCAGGAGGACGGCAGATTTGTATATCTCCTTGTATCTGTTCATGTGGCTGTCATAAGAAAAATAAATAAAACTTTCCATTAGTCTGGTATTTTGTGTTCTTGGTTTATTATTTGTAATATAACTTTGTGCCGTACAGTTTTCAAAACAAGAGTTTGAGATGCAGAGGAAAGTAAATGAGATTCTGTCCTTGTGTGTTTTTTTTTTTTCTTTCATGCAGGTGCAGGCATTTGCCAGCATGAAACAACTAGTGAAAAACAGAGGGCTTTAATTAAAGAGACTGAATGCAGAACAGGAACTGGGAGAAACTAAAATAATAAAATGTCACTTTATTTAAACAGTTGCTAATGTGCAAACAGCCTGCAGATGTAACAGTATGAGGATTGTGCACAGCCTCTCTGAAAATGTGGAGCTTTTAGTGATGTTTTAATCTAAGAGAAGGAAATGTGCTCTTTAAGAGGGCCTGGGTGCCTGAAGTGGGAAAGAAACTATCCAAAACAATCTGAAAGTACTTCCATTCAAAAGTAATACTAAGCAAGCTAGAGCATTACAGTGCTGTTCCACGTACCAGGAACAGGCTTTGGGTAGAGGAGATGGTATCTGCATTGTCTGAGCCACTCAGAAGCAATCTTCCTTTGCTTTGAAACTAAACGTGGCAGGATCTTTCTTCATACCTACACAGCAGCCAGTGAACTGGAACCCCAGCTCTGAGTGCGGCCTCTGAGTACAGGCTGTATTAGAAATGCCCAATAAACATGCAGAGAGGTACCGTGTTTGATGGCTGCAGCGCTGGCAGGAAAATGCACCTGGGAAACCTTTCTGTAGCTGTGAGCCCAGTGACACAAAGTGAATCCTGTTATCCCTAAATAAGAGTTTAGGAAATGTGGACATAATTAAATGGAAATCTTCTGGCTTTCTAAAATATGTAGTCTGTACTTTTACTCCAGCTATGTTGTTTGACATACTATGTAATTATAGTCATTGTCAAGTAGCTCTTATTTGCATGAATTGAGCAGCTGCAATTCCTCTGATGTGCTACCATAATTTTCATAATAACTACAGCTGTTGATTCTTCTTCCTTCTTTCTAACTCACCCATCCAGTGCAACTAAATACTAGCTATTTAGGAGCAACAAATGGTACTTAATTAATAACAAGAAGTTAGAGAAACATACTCTGTGCTGCTATTGCTCCCGAATTGGAGAATTTTAATACTGGGGGACAAAATCTGGGTTTTGTTGAGGATTATAAGTAGGTATTAGTGGAACAAGTATTCTGTCTTGAGTCACTAGATGCCAAAAGAGGAACATAAGAACAGAAGTTAGGTTTGCTTTCTTCCTTAAATAAACTGTCTGGACTTTTTTTACATTTTTTTAATTTATTTTTTTAAAGAACAGAATGAATGATTTGTGGCTGCTTTTAATTCTGAATTTTCAGATCCACTTCTATTTTTCACAGTTAACATGTGAGCTATTAAAGTGCTTGGTATTGGCCTGAAATATTTTCTTATTTTTATCTCTGCCAGTTTGTACTGCTTTAACTACACTGATATTGTTGAAGTGATTCACTTGAACCAAAATGGCTTACGCACCTTCTCTGAGATGTGCATCATGCTGCCAGAGCACATCTCTACTGAAGCAGAGGTGTGGACAAATCCAATTTTAAAATAGCTGAGATGGTTTAAGATATCAGCAATATCTTAAACCATCTTCCAGTGGCAGTTCTTGTGCTAATGTCTCTTACTCTGTTTTAAGCCAGCTCATTTAAAACTGGATTAGGGAGGCTTGCATGAACCTTAGCACATTTATTGCTGGCATAAGGCAGTGATGAAAAGTGAAAGCATCTTGGGTCACTCCACCTTTGATCCAGATAAAAAGGTCTTCTCAAAACATCATCTTCAATCTTAGCTGCTTTATGAGTTGTTGCAGTATGACTCTCCATAAGAAGCAACATCTTATAAAGATACTAAAACATGTGATTGGAGAAAAAAAACAACAAACAAAACCATGATCCAAACAAGTAATTAAAGGTGATTAAAATCCATTCAGACTTTTTCAGATATGAAAATTGGGAAGATAAGCCTTCTGGCACAGTAATTATTTATCTCATTTATTTCTGTAAAACTGAGTAACGTAAAACCATGAAGGTATAAAACTTGTTTGGACAGCTGAACTTTTTAGTACAGTCTCAAGAAACAGACTTTTTCTGATGTGCCACAGTTGAGTATTCTCTCTGAGCCTGTGAAGATGGCTCATGGGTTCTGCTGCCGAATGTCAGTGTATGTTGTTCTGCATGACACTGCAGCCATTTCAGTGAAGTGCACAAATGACCGTGATGCTGGATTCAGTGATGCACTTTTACAAAGAATTGAAATGAAGCATCTGTTCCGAGTTCCCCATGTGCAGAAACTTGAAGTGTATCTTGTACTTGCACAGTGCATGAATCTAAGGAGAACTGATTTGGCAGATTTGGTTAAGGAATTGTAGTGGGTTGTTGGGCAATAAGCTAACAGTTAGATATGGGGCAGAGACAGCTTGGTAATGAAACTATTTGTGCAATTATCATGAACGTAGCAGTCTCTGAGAAAATTCACCTTTGAGAAATCTCATTGGGTTGATGTCTGTGTCGGTCTTTTAGATATATCTACAACTTTGAAAATTTGGTCCTACATCACTTGACAAATGGACTTCCATTGTACCTAGGTGCTTCTGAAAGATACAGTATCTCCCTGCCTACCCTTCTTCCTCTCTAATGCTACTGCAGTCAAAATAGAGGTGTGCCTTTGCTATGTGAATCCCATTTAAAAGGTGGTGTCTTCAGGCAGAGGATGGGGGTGCAAAGATGGGAAGCTACCTACTTCTCTGACCTCAATGTGGGCTCATGGGTAGAGGCAGCAGTATTCTTTTTTAGAAAATTAATAAATAATCTATAATTTCTTCATCTGTAGTTGATGTTGCACAGTTAAATCACAAAGAGCCAGTTTCATTACTCTTATTAGTGTTGTGCAGTATCCTACTTTTTAAATCAATGGTGCTTTTTACAGAGGTATTTGCTTTCTGGACAGATTTCTGCCCTGTATCTTTTGGAATGGCAGAATCGGGCTTTTAACAAGGGAAGAAACTTATGCTAATAATACTGCATTGATACAAAATTGGCCTTCCTGCTTTTTAATCAAATGTTTTCTATATTTTTGTGAAATATGTAGGCATGCTTAGTATTAAATTTTGAAATATTAGACACATTCCATTAAACAGAACATTAGAGATATAATGAAAATAAGAGATACAATGAAATGCACTGTATCAAACAGCTTTTTGTGTGTGTATTCTTGTGATAACTTGTGTTTGTTTGCTTTTACAGGCATGCATTTAGTGCATTCAATGTAATTTATATGCAATGAAAGGAGCAGAAGATAAAACCGCTACATAGATGTAGGCCCACTATGACTTTTCAGTTGTTGCTCCTTTAAAAATGAAGAGGAGGGAAGCTGTAAAGACATTAGTATTCCACAGCAAGCTTTTCCAATAATAGGTTTCAGAATGTCAGACCACAGCACACTGGCTTCTTTGGAAAGATTTCACTGTATGCAAGGATCTTGGCTTTTAGTTATCAGGAGGAGCTTTTAGGTAAACAAGATGCTGCTGTTTGAAATAAGGGTGCCTCAGTACATAGTAGCTCTTTTCACTGGACAGAGCATGATGTGATTGTAGTGGGATATGGGGCTCACATATTCATGAGTTCTTGCAAAGTCCTGGCTGACAAAGCACTTTTCATTAAATGTGGCTCTGTAATGTTGCTGCTCATCATGAGGAGCAGAATTTGTAGCCAGATCTGAGAGTGGGTTCTCACAGCTGCAGGTGCTTATGATCTATATGCCATAGATCACTTTTTAAACTATGTAATATTTTCCTCTCTAATAGATATGTGTTTGTGTGTGTGTGTGTGTGTGTACGTGTACAATATATATTTATATACACACACACATATATATGTAAAACCTCCTTCAAAGCAGTTGGCAGTTTTAGGATTTCATTGCAGTCATGCATCACTTCACATTTTTAGAGCCCTGGGAGGTTTGTTAGTACAATTTTCTGATGAAATTTCAGAGGAATGGATTATGGTTTTAGAAGTTTCACATTGCCTGCCTTTAAGAAGGCTGCTCTTATATTTGCCTGACATCTGCTTAAGTAATCGCAGCGCTGCTAGAAATGGATTTGAGAGCTTGTATTTTTGGGCTTGTGTTTATGGACTGGTATTGGGTTTTTTCTTTATTACCAGTTTTCTTTTGGGTTTGAATGTCATATGTTTACAATCTTCCAGGAAGAGGATTTTTTTTTACATAGTCTACAGTTCAAATTTAACACTGTTTGATTTTACTGGAAATGTAAATAACCGCAATGAAGTATGAATTGGAGTTGAAGTTTGCTTTCGGAGGTTGCCTTTTTGTAGGGATTTACTTAATTCCAAGTTGATTCCTTTTCTTTGGGAGGCAAAACCATCTTATCCTGGGTGAATGAGATTTTTGTTATCAGCACATGTCTACATTTTAGACCACTTCTACCATGCTATCTTATATCCTTTCTGTTGAACAATCCTGTCTGCAGCTGATTTGCTGCTGCACAGTAATAATAATCAGAGAAAGTCCAAATAGTGGAAAATTTAAATAAGACAAATTTTAGGGAATGCAGAGCTGGACCCATGCTG